AAAAAGATCCCGATGTTCCTAAAAGACCACTGTCTGACTTTGTTTTGCTTTAACATCACCCAAAATCTCAAGTGAACACCTAGGCCTATCCATTGGGGATACTTTTTAGTATTTCACCCCATTAGTATTTAGTAATTTCACCCCATGTTTTTAATGGGGTGAAATGTGGTTAGCTAAAGATAAAAAACCCGATGGACAAAAAGCAGCTAAGAGAAATCTGAAAAGGATATTGTTGCCTACCATGCCAGGGGCAAAAAAGAGCAAGAAAGAAGGGCTCTGGTTGGCATAGCCTTAAAGGAGAATGCATCCCAAAAATGAGGAGAAGAAGGAGGAGGAGTAAGACTGTAAAAAATTAATGGCTATCTATAACAGCTGTGTGGAGTGGTGGGGGGATTCAGGCCGTGATTTTGCTAAGAATGTGAATTCAATTGTAGCTGGATACAATTTCAAGATAGGCTCTCACTGCACTATTTGCCAGGGCTGGCTTTGAACCTCGATCCTCCCGATTTCTGCCTCCTGAGTAGCTAGGATTACAGGCATGAGCCACCAGCGCCCAGCTAAAAGAAAATACTTTTTAAAAATGGCAGGTTGTAGTTTTGTGGGGCTATTATCTACAGTGAGATTTTAGTTTCTGATGTTCCTAAAAATTTAATAGTTTAATTTCTTGACGTGTGTGGTAGCGCAGAAACTTGTACAAATTCGTATCAACAATAAATTTTGAGTTCTATTAGAATGCTGAACTTTATATTTTTAAATATTTTTGTACTGCATATGTTAAAAAACCTGAGGCAGTCATGTAGTCCCAGCTACTTAGGAGACTGAGGCAGGAGGGTCACTGGAGCACTGGACTTTAACAGCAAACTGAGCAACACAGCGAGACCCTGTTTTGAAAACAAGCAAATGAACAAAACAAAATCTGACTTACTTGGCTCCTTTTTCTTAAAATAATTACACTGTTTGGAAAGAAATAAGGTCTATTAGAACATATGGTAATGCTTCATTGTGGAATTTTTAAGTTTATAACATTAGAAACTAGAGCAGGAGAAGGGTTCATTAAATCAGTGATTCCCAAACTCTGTCATCAGGTTGGCCCTGGGACATTACAGATTTATTGTCCTTATCATCAGTAATATTTATTATTATTTAACTTACAACTGCTTATGAGGATTATTATCATCTCTATTTCATATATGAACAAAGTGAGGTACAGAGAAGTAACTTGTTCAAATGTACCCAGCTAATAAGTAATAAAGCCAGGATATAAACTGGCAATTTCAAATTCCCTCCCTGCTCCTTCCCACCCAGTTTTGATTGAGATTTGGAAGGGGTTCCCTGGAAATAGTAGTTATGTCCCCAGGTGATTCTGAAGCAAAGTCAGTTTAGAAACCAACCTGTGAAATCAATTTACTTTGCATTAGCCTAGTTCCTTACCCAAGTCTTAGAAATTATAGCTCATATGGCTACTTGAGCGCCTCACTTTACCCACCCCCCCTTTTTTTTGCGTGAGTAGAGGAGGACAGAATGTGGACATAGAAAAGTGTAAAGTGGAAGAATTGAGCCCCCAGAGTTGGGGGGGTGTCCCAAGAGAGAGTGCCCCTCAGTTACCCTTTCCCTGGAGTAGTAAACAGATATGCCTTGGATGTGCTTCACCGTTCTGCAGGCACAATGCTAAAGGGGCTGGTGCCCTTTTGGAAGTTGTTCCTGTCCCCAAGACACACAGCACCTAGTTTAAAGGCTCATGTGAGAAGTTGGCAATGAAGGAAAGATACAAAGGTGGATCCTTTTGTACCTACAAAGTGGTCCTCAAAGCCCACCCAGGGCACATGCCTAGCAAGCATAACATCCTGAGTTCAAATTCCAGTATCACCAAAAATAAAGAAAAAAAAAAAGGATCTGGAGATGGAGGAAAGACAGTGGGAACTCTGTCTCCCAAGGGAACCAATGGACGCAGGCATTCATGAATGAGGTTCAAGGTTCGTCTTTAAGGGCAAGTGAGTAGGCACCACAGGGTTGGATTAAGTTGAGAACTCCTTCTAGGAAATAAAACTGGAAAAGTAAATTAGGACAAGATATGACAAATCTTACGTGTCAGGGCAGAGTTTGGACTGAACCCGCTGAACAGTAGGCAGCTACTGAAGTCTGAAAGGACAAAGATATATGAGTGGATCCGTTAGAAGAAATAGTCTGCAGTCAGTCACAATGTAGGTGAAAGGATACGGAAGACATGAGAACCAGGAAAACCAGTAGAAGGTTAAAGAGACCATGCAGTTGGGAAAAATCTTTTAGTAACATACTGGATGTACCTGAATGATTATGCTGCTGACCAACCTCAGGGACTTGGAGCAAATTCCCTAATTCCTCTGAGCCTTTGGTTTTTTCACTGGAAAAGGGTGTGATGATGATGATGCCTGCCCCCAAAAACTGAGCCAAGATGATTTCTCCAGGGTGGTGACAGCTCTGGGATGCCTGGTGAATGGGTATTTTTTTTAAAGTTCATTTCCAGACTTATATCACTTAGAAGATGTGAGAGGGAGTTAGTATTCAGTGAGTGATGCAGAAATTACCCTGGACTAGTAAAGGAGTTACCCTCACCACGTCCTCATGAGGTAAGTGTTTTTATCCTCAATTAATTGTAGACTCAACTAAAGCAAAAGACAATAATTTGAGTCTGAGTATAAACCAATGTCTGCCCAAATCTAAAACTTGACCTTTCCCAACTACATGACTGTTTTTGACTTGTAAAGTTGTATTTCATCTCATTGATTTTGGCATGATGTTCTTGACTTTTGAGACTGCTTTGAACTTTGATTCTGATAGCTATCAAGTTAAGCATCATTACAAACTTTGGGTCACCTGAGAGAGAAATCAATTTTGCTGAGATAGAAGCAAACAATGAAAGATGTTTTGAAGTGGAAACTGACCAGATGACTGTCCTAGTGGATAGGAGGCAAGGATATCTGTCCAAAGCAGATGTAATCTGGTTGTAAAGTGAACATAGGTAGATGCAATAGTCCAGCTGTTGAGGATGGTAGTGCACACAGGTGGAAAGTAAAGACTTAGGTTAAAAAATCAGGCATGTGCCGGGTATGGAGGGGGTGGGGGGGAGAGCGAGGGGGTGAGGGGGAGAGGGAGGGGGTGGGGGCAGGGGGGAGGAATGACCCAAGCATTGTATGCACATATGAATAATAAAACAATAAAAATTAAAAAAAAAATCAGGCATGGACACAAGTACGAAGTGGAGAGGGGTTGGGGGTGGGCTAAATAGTTGCACTTAAAGACAAACAGAGGTCAGAGGAAACGAACAGTAACGGAAAAGACGCACTCAGTTCCCATATTCAACTGTTGGGAAGTCACAGGAGACCAGATGGAATGATGTAACTGGAGAAGCCAGGTCAGAGAATATGGAAATCAGGTAAGTTATCTGAGGAACACAGGATACACTAAGTGGAAGAAATCAGGATATTTAAAATAAAGGCTCACCTGTACAGTGGAAGGAATGGTGCACAGGGATGAACTTTTTCCATGTTTACCTCTACCCTTACCATGTGCCTACAAAAAAGTTACTAAATACATCTAAGTTTCTTGAGAAGTGTGGGGAATAAAACAAGAATTTTTAAGCCCTGCCCAAAAAAACAAAAAAACAAAAAAACCCAAAGGATTACATAATTTGGGGATAACCATATGCAAACAATACTCCTAAAGATACCTCACAGATGCTGACAAAGACCTCACTTCGACAGACGGGACCGCATACACCAGTGGGATGTACCTGTGAGAGAACTCAGGTTGTTCAGCAGTGTGGACCCTGGGGCGGCCCTCCTCTCTCTCTGCAGTGCTCTGGTTTGGGGAACACAGGAAGTTACATCCAGCACATCTTTTGTCCAGATGACGGGCCAAATCAAAATCCTCCCTTGCCCCGATTACCGCCAAAAAAAGGAAAAAAAAAAAAAATCCTTCCTTGCTCGCTCTGCAATTAGCCCGTGGGACTGAGCCAGGTATTAGTGTTCACCAGCAGCCCCTAGCTGGGATGCGGTAAACCCACTCTTCCTCCAGCTTCTCTCCAGAACAAGCCCGGTGGCTGGTTGTGGTGCTGAAATTTGCATCTGATTTGAATATTACAAATAATCACGAGAGCTAATTTCTAATGAGTGAGATTAACTACTTCAGACTACACGTGCAAAACACCGTCTCACAGTCACACCTGATGCCACCCCTCTGTGCAACCCAGGCCTCCACTTCCACTCTCCATTTGAACTTACACAGACTAAGGACGAAGTGAATTTTTGTCCAAACTTGCAAAAAAAAAAAAATGGGGCGGGAAGCCTAGTTTTTTTTAGGAACCGTTAAAAGAGGAGACAGACACGCAGGTTAAGTCCAGGCTTTCAGGAGCTGGTCCCCAGGGCCACCTGCCCATGTGACTTTCTTCTCCGGCAGTCGGGGACACTGCCTGCGGTCCATCTCCCAGCCCGGGAGGCACATGGCCGGCTGCAACTGAGTTCCGCGTCAGCTTGGGGGGCGGGGGGACCCGTGTGCGCCCCTCTCCTTCGAGAAGTTTCTCCGGAGGCCCGCATCCCCGATCTTAGGTCGGCCCCCTGGTGGGGTCCGAAGTGGCGGGAACCCCGGACTTCAGAGGCGGCCGCTCGGCGAGAGCAGCTGTAAAATCCGCTAGAGGATCCGGGCCGCCCGGCGCGGCACGGGCCATGGCCTGCAGGTAGAAATCCCCTCGCGAGCGGGGCCTGGCGGCGGAGGGACGGTGCGGGCCGCGGTCGGAGGGCGGTTTCGGGGCCCCCCTCTCCCGCGCCGTGGCTATTGCGGCGATGGCGGCGACCGTTTCCCGGCTCCCCCGCCCCGGACGCCGATGGCGGTGCGTTCCGGCCTCCCCTCCCCCCCGACTTATCCCCGCGGTCGCCGGAGCCGGTGAGGCCGGGAGGGCGGGGAGCCGCGGAGGGAAGGCGAGAGGGCGGAGGTTGCGTGGTGCAGGCGGCGGCAGCGGCGGGAGGAGGGCCGGCGGGCGGGCAGGGGAGGAGGAGGAGGAGGCGGGCGCCGTGTCGCACGCAGCTCCAGGCGGGGCAGCCCGGGTGGCTGAGGGACGCGGCCAGACCTTGGCGGGACGGGGTTTCGCAGGGCCCGGACCCAGCGAGTAAGGCAGACACGCCGGCCGAGCCTTTGGGGCACCAGGGAGATGCGGGTGAGTGTCAGCGGCCGCCGGGGCCGAGGAAGGAGGTAGCGGCGGCGCAGGCCCGGCTCGAGCCGCGGTGTCGCAGTGACTGGGGCCGCGGCCGCCGAGCTTAGGTACCGGGCGAGGCCTGAGCTGCCGAGCCGCGGTTGGGAGGAATGGCGGCCGGGCCGGGAGACTCGTGGGCGGAGGACGCTGGGGGGCGGAAGGGGAGCGAGCGGGACCCGGCCTGAGTCACCCGCGCTGGCCAGGCCGAGGCCCCGGACGCGGGCTCGCGGCAGCCAGGCCCGGCTACGCACTGGGAAAAAACCCGATTCATCGCGCCCGGCGGCGGCGGCCTGGTGGCGCCGGCCTCTTTCCCAGCCGCAGGCGGGCTCAGTCCCGAGTGGGCCGGGCGACTGGGGCGTCCACGCCTCGTGCGGCGACCCCCCGCGGGACGCCCGCCGCTGCCCTTTCTCCCTCTCCTCCCTCGGGTCACGCCGGTCTCCCCCCCGACTCGCCCGGCGTCCCTTGCAGCCGGACTCGTGCTCTCCGGGAGCCTGGGCTCGCGCGGAGGAGGAGCTGCCGGGCCGGGCGCGCTGGCTTTCCGCTTCCCCTCTCGCTTTGTGGCGACGGGGCAGGGCGCTATTATTGGGTAATAGTCGGCCTTTTGCTCCGTTCTCTGGAGGAGCGGGCCGGGCCGGGGGCGGCAGCGATGCGAGTGTGGCGGTCCCCCGGGAGGGAGCCCCCCCCCCCCGGCCCCAGCCAGCGCTCACGAGTTGGGCCGAGCCCTGCGCCGCGGCCTCGGCGCGCCCCCGGCCCCAACGGGAGCGCGCGTCCCGACCCCGGAGGTAACCCGGCTCCGGGCCAGGCTGCGGGAGTCGGGGTCCCCAGCACCGGGCTCGCGCGCCTCCACCCTCGAGGTTCTGGTGGCCCCGAAGTCCCACCTTCATCTGTGTCATGTCGTGTAGAGTTGGGACGATTAAGAGAGATAGGAGTGCTATGTACGTTGCTTGAGAGTGCTCCCCAAATTAAGGGTTGTCCCTCTAGCTAGCTCTGCCAAAAAGAGGAGTTCCTCTTCCTCTTGGGTCACTGGTGTCGCTTTTACTTCAGCAGGGGTTAGTGGTAAGGGTTAGACACCGAACTGCAGTCGACTTACTCAGGTAGTTCTTTGCTCTGTGTAGTTGCTCTCTCCTGTAGTGGTATTAAAAGAGTCAAGTTCAGAGTGGGGTAAGTGGTCACACTGTTTTTGAAATTCACTTACGGGGGTGGCAGAAGAGGAACTAAATTCTTTTTGACTTTAAGCCAGGAGCTTCCAGGACCCAAGCACACCAACGCCCCGCAGAAATGCGTGCACTTTTAAGTTCAACACTTCTTTTTAGGGTGTACCTGAAAAAGTACCGGCTTTTCTGAAGTCTTGGGCAGTTTTATGTATTTTGTATAGCAAAGTAAGTGAAGATGTTTTAAAAAAAACTACTCATTTTGTTTCAAAAAAAAATTAGGATATGAAAGTTTTCTTTGTTTGAGAAGTCTTGGGCTGTTCGCAGTTTTTTTTTTTCCCGAAAGTTTTGTTTGTTGCTTCCATAGTAAGTTGAAATAATTGCATCGCATTTCAAATTCCGAAGCATGCAAACACAAGACGGGCTTGCTTTAACTCCTATTATGCCCATTTTTGGAGGTTTCAGGAGAGTGCTTATTAAACTTGAGAGGAATGGCTTTCTAAATGTGAGCCTTCTCTCTCTCCCCTCCCCGCCCCGTGGTATCATCTTATGAAAACGATTTTGCCAAAAAACAAACCAACTTTAGATATGCTAGGGTTGTTTGTTTCTGCTCATGCTCTTGTGGTCCTGCCTCCATTCCTCACGTGCAGCATTCAAAGACAGACAAACGCTTGAGCTGCTTCTGCAGGTCTTTAAGTATTCCAAAGACTCCTTTGTCCCTTGCAGATTACTGCTTTCTATCAATAATTAGTCTTGATTGTCAGTGCAGTCTTAGCCCTTTCACCTGTGTTGAAGACGGGCTAGTCTGTTTTTGCATCCATGATGTAACATAGAATTGATCTTTGTAGTACCTCTGTTTTTTTGAATGAATGAATTTTTTGGAATGATTCTAAATTTAATCATAGTGTTTGCGCACTCACCCTGATTTTGGCCACAAAAAACATAGTCATTGCTCTTAAACTGGTTAAGAATGCATTTTGTTACGATAGTATGCTTCTTGAGAGTAAATTTGTCGTCTTTCTTGTCCCTCCTTTGCCTTTCTCCAGTATCTAATTGAGTACCCCAACAGAAGCATGTTCAGGTTTTCTTTAGCTGTGGAAATCCAGGAAAGTGCCAAGAAAACAAGTTGTGAAACTTTTAACAAATCTGGTCTTAAGGTGTAGATTTTTAAACCTGTGTTTATTAGTTTGTTTTGAAGCAAGATTGCAAGATTGGTTTCCCCCTGGGTTAAATATCACAGCCTTGCCTTTGAAGGGAAGCAGTTTGGTAGTTGAGGCTGGAAGACAGTTTAGCTTAGTGGTGCCACTAGCTTCTGTGGGACAGTGTACCCAGGGCAGAACATGTGTCTTCGAGCATGGAAAATTAAAATGAAAAGGCTTTAAATTAAGGAGTTGTTACATGCCATTCTTCAAATTTAAAAAAAGTAGGGCCCCCTGAAACTGATCTGTTTGTATTTCTTGCAGTTTGAGCCTGCCATAGACCCCAAACCATGGCCTTTCTAGAAACCCTGAGCTATTCAGTCAATCTGGGAGAAAATGTCTGGGGAACCAGTGGCTTCACTTTGAGTTGATCTTAGCTATGTCTGGAGAAGAAGCCATTAACCCATCCATTTGAAGGTCAATTCTCAGTCCACCTTGCTTTTTAAAACATTATCTGGTAGTTTGTCAGTGTGTTTCTTTCTTCCTTTTTTTTTTTTTTGCTTCAAAACAGAAATGAACATTAAATGAAGAATAAATCAAATTTGGAGAAAATTCAAGTTTATTCTGTTACTGAAGATTGTACACTTACAGTATGTACATTTACTAGGGAACATTACAAGCAGAATTATAATACTTTATAACTATGAAATGAGTTTTTTGGTGGTGCTCAGCATTAAACCTTGGACCTCAAGCCTGCTGGACAAGTGTTCTGCCACTGAACTACGCTCCCAGCCTCAGATGTTTTATTATTGTTGTTGTTTTGTTTTTTAAGGGCCTTTTTGTGTCACCCAGGCTGGATTCCAACTTTAGATCTCTTGAGTGCTGGAATTACAGGCATGCACCACCACACCCAGCCCTGAGATGGTTTTTAATTGCTACTGTTAAAGATTTCTCAAAGTGCATGGATTCCATGTGAACACCATAATTTTTAAACATCAATAGTGAGGGTTGGTAAAAATACTTTATAGAATGCTATGTAATTTGTTCATGTCTGATAAGCAGAGTTACAAAGCCCATGTTTGATAGTCATTTTACTTTTCTTTTTGGGAAACTTGGACCAAGAAAGCAGTTTTCCTCTCCCTCGCATCCAACCCATGCTTCAGCATGGCTGCAGTTCTGTACCCTGAATTTCATGTTTCTTCTCCCCTTCCCATCCCATGACGGCTCAGTCATCTCTGAAAAGCTGGCCCGCCCACCTGTCTGAGTTAGGAGCCGTACCTTGGTCCCCATAATGTCCTGCCTGTGCTACCATCTCAAGTCTCAACCTTCTGGTGTACTTGGTGACTTCTCCCACTAGACTGACCTTGAAGACAGGAATGGTGTGACACCCATTTGTCCTCCCACCCAGTGCTAGGCACCTAGGCACTCAGTGCCTAGCACACTGCTCGTTCATGTGCATCTTGAAGTCTTTACAAAGCGCCGGGTTCCACCTGCCTTGTAGACTGTGGAAGGAACCGAGGCTTTGCATGGTTAAGGTCAAAGCTCGTAGGTTTGTTTAAAAGCCAGTGTTAGAACAAGACAGAGTAATCCCAGAACTTGAGCTTTTAACCGAGTGCTCTGCCTGAGTGTTTGATTAAATGAAGGTGGAAGAAGACTAGGAGAGACTAGAATGAAATGTTTTAAGGATTAATGTCTGATAGTTAAGACAGCTCATCATGCAGATCTATGGTTGACTACCAAGAGTGAGTTTATTCCTGGTCTGTAGTGCAAGTTGAGGAGAGTAATTGGGTGCTGATGGCATACACATGAACAGTTCTGGAACTTTGGGGGTAGTGTTAAATTGAGTATGATGTTATGCCTCATTGGCCTTGCAAAAATTTGTAAAACCATTTAACAACTGATCAAATTTAAGAAGCAAATTTTTAAAGGCCTATGTCAGAAAATACTTTAGAAAATATTGTATGAAAGGGATGCAGCCATTTAAAATATGTGTAAAGTACATGCACTGGCAGAGGTGAAGTAGTAAAATTTTAGGGTGGTGAACTTTTGTGTTTTAAATTTTTTTATTTTTTTAAGTTTAGGAACCAAAAGATAATAGGGTGGAAATCTCAGGATGGAGAAAATGCCTATGTATTAACACTGCAGACAGATTGTAAAGAAGATTCATTTGATTATTTTAGAATAAAAAACTTCTGTATGTTGAAATCCTATTAGCTGAATTAAAGGCAAATAACAAACAGAAACATGTTTTGACTTAGAAGCAAATTTATTCTTCATACTGTAAAAACAGGACTATAAACCAATTAAAAAAGAGGACCCTCCTCTTGAAAAAAATGGGCGAATTGTTAACTCATACAGGGAACAAGTTTTCAACTTCACTAGCAGTATTCTGACAAATGCAAGTCTATGAGAGTTTTCTGTTTAAATTTTTGGCATTTTTTTTTTTAAATCCACTTCTGTTGAGTATGGAGAAGTGAGCCCACTTACTGCTAGAAAGAGTATAATTTTAATATGATTTGAAGAGCAAACTGTAGCAAAAACTTACTTTGAAATAGCTAATCTTCTAAGGATTTAGTTAAGAAAATGTAAAAAGTGATTAATAGGTTAATAATTTGTCCTGGGGATGTTGTTGTTTAACTAATGCCTTTACTGTGCATGTGTTTTCAGTTTGGGG